AATAGTTGAATGCTTATAGTGTTGCATTTAGAAAATGGAAACATTAAACATTTGTATTTCACTCTCACTTTTCAATTTCTTAATTCTAGTGAAGCTGTAAGTATCTAAATCATATCAATGATACAAACTTTCAATGTATTTTTTGGATGTTCATTATTACTAACAAGAGTGAACATGCTTTTTCAATGTCCTTTCAATGATTTGAATTGCATAATACATTTACCAAGTCTAATATAAATGGATTAATTAGCAACTGTAGGAGAAGAAAAGAATGCTTAAATGCTATACGTTCTTTCTTATGAGTATTTTTTTAGAAGGAAAATGTCTTGTCATACTACCCAAGTTTTAGCCATATGCTTGGATTACGTATTATCAATAATGATCATGATTTTTTTGATTTCTTGATGTCATTACTCATTAACTCGCTATGTCATATTAATAATGATCCATAAATTTGGTTTTCTATCATGTTCAAAATTTTCTATATTTATGCACTTGTTTCCCATAAAGTGATAGCATTTCTATTTGTTTCATAATTTTACTAACAATAAAGAAAGTATTGCATATTTTGTTGAAGTTCTCCTAGCCCCAATAATTCACATCCATTGTACTTTTCTAAGCTTTTTCTTTTTGTTTAGGAGAGATGTGAATGGTAGATGAAGCATAAAAAGCATTGGAAGAGATTGAGACACTTAAGAAGGTTTTCAATTTTTGAGTTTTGGTTGTCTTTAATCCTTTTAGGCAAATAAAAAATTTCTTATTTTTTATTTTTAGCAATTCAAAAACATGTGAAATTTCATGTGAAATTACTCAGACAATTAATATATTCAGATATTCTATAATATTTAATTATTGAAATTGAATTAAATTTTATGTGTTTTTTAAATATGTTTTAGGATTGAATGTAATTGTAGTAAAAATTGAAAAAAAAAAAAAGAAAAAACTCATCGCAAATGTTATTTTTTACAGCTATATATATAATTAATATTCAAAATTTAATGGTGCTTATCCAATAAAATGCCACTAAGTTTGAAAATTTTCATCCCCTAAATTCTATACCAAGGCATTCAAGAAATGCCGCTAAATGTAAAAAAACTCCATTAATTTTTGCAGCATTAAAAAAAAAAAAAACATTGTTAAATTTTCTGACACCAATATAACTTACATTGTTTGGAAACACCACAACATTTGAGTGATATTTATAAACCCCATTAAATAATTAAAAAGGAAAGCCATTAAAAAACTAATTTTTTGAAGTCGATTATTAAGGTTCTATTAATTTGATACTTTTTTTTCTTTTTTTGCTTTCTAATGGAATATGAAAAACAAAAATTAAAAATAATCTAAAAATAAAAAAATACTAAAAAATGTAAAAGTACAACAGAGATAAACTAAATGATATCAAATATAGAGATATCTAATTAAATCATCGGCCTATACTTTAAGCTCCATGATTTCTATATACACAATTATCAAAATATTATCAAATATTGGGATCAAATTACGCCAATAAAATATTATTTTAAATTTGAAACAATGAATTTATTGTTAAAGCGTTTTTATGACATATCTGAAATAAATTTGAAACGTTTAATTTAGGTTTAATTTGTTGTATAAATTGCAAAGATATATATAAATGCAAAAAATTATATATATGTAAAATAATTATTAGACAAACTTGATTTTATGAAAATTATCATGGAATTTGATCGTGTATATAAATCTTGTATATCTTTAACACAAAATTTTCTTTAAAATAATTAGTTAAACAAATATGACTTTTTATTTTGATAAAATTTATCCAAATTATTACTCATATATTTGGGAGAGTACTATAGAATGATAAATTTGAAATTCCCAATTTTATTTTGGGTATTTCAAGTTCATCATTAAACAAAAATTTAACAAATTTATAAATTTGAAAATAACTATAAAAGAACTATATTTTATGTCATCTTAATAATTTATACTAAACTTAAAACCCAAATTCCTTTTCTCTTATTTAATATGCTAATTAAGATTGTAATTTGTTTTATACAAAAAAACTTATAATTTAAAATAAAATTTCTCGACAATAATTATATAAATCAAATGAACTAAATTTTCACTTATTCAATCTTAAAATTTTGATCTTTATTAATTTGGGAATTGTCAGTTGTTAGTACCCATTGGATACATACAGCCGATCAAGTTCTAGAAGTCATTTGGAGTCTAATTGGAAAATAACATGAGTGGTCCATGCTGAGATGAAGCCAAGAAATGACAGCCTTCCATCCCATTAATTATCTTCGCCTCGTGGGAGTTCATTTTTCCACCTCGGTGGCTGGTCTATGACCTACTATGGACCAATATTCTCACAACATTATCATTAACTAAATAAATAAATAAATAAAATCAACAATTTATGGTTCAAAATTTCCATCTTTTATGATAGCTAGTTAGGTATTAGTTATATTCATTGTATTAACTTCTTAATGAAACATTCTTTTCTTACACACTTGTCTCCCTGAGCTTAAACTCAGCTAAAACAATAATTCAACTAATTTAAGATTAGATTTGATTAAGTTCCATTTTTATAAATTTAAATACTTAAGAAGCTTGGAATTCGATTTGTATTTGAGTGTGTAGCTGTAGTAGTAAAAAAAAAGTTTGCTCATTTCTTTATTATTTGGTTTGAATTTGATGAACTGCTGTGATAAAATAATTTTTTACGAATTTGTTAAATTTCGTATAAATAAACCTATATTAACCAACCTGAGAATGGGATGTATTGATCAAAACTCATATCCTCTTGCCACTTATATAAAAATGATTAAATTATGAAATTAGTTTTTATATTTTTATAAAATTTAAAATTTAGTCCTTATACAATAATTTGTAGAAATTAAATCCTTAAACTAGTTTTATTTAACAATATTGGTCCAATTAATAAAAGTGTTACTTGATTTCCATTAAATTGTTGACATAATCGCTCACTATATTGACATAGCATTGATTTTAATGATGTGGTATTAACCTGCCAATGTGACAATTAAGATTGATAAAATCAATTGTTAAATTATACAAATGATCCATATACTCATACAAAATTAAAAATTTAGTCTTTGTACTCCCACGAAATTTGAAATTTAACCTCTATACTCACACAAAATTTGAAACTTAGTCCCTTTAATACAAAAATATTTTGAATTTTTAAAATTTTTTAGTGTTTTAAAATGTTAAATTTTAAATTGCTACAATATTCTCTCATAATATTCTATCACAATATTAAAAAATCTATCAATATTTAGTCACAATTTTCATATGTTTTCACTAAATCTATCGTAATTTTTTATTACCCATGTGAAATATTATTACTAATTCCGTTGCTATTTCTTGTTACATTTTGTCATTAAATATAAATCTATTACTAATTTTGTCACAAATTTCTGTCATTATCTAATTTTAATAAAACTATTATTTTTTATTAATTTATCTAATGAATTAGAATTATAATTACATCCCATAAAAGGTAAAATTATCCATAAAACAGTATTTCTATTCCTTTAAATTAAACCTTATTTAAATTATTTTTTATAATCAAATATAGGTTCAAGATTCTAAATACATTAAAGTAATTTGCTAAACTTAATGTGTGTTGGTTTTAAATTAATCTTATTATTTAATTGGACATAATTATTTAAATAATTTTTTGTGAAGACCCAAAAAATTGAAAATTCTCATTATGATACATGATATTGATATTTTGATTTATAAAATAAATCATTTTCTCCTTTTTTTTGGTTAAGATTTAAAGTTCGTCATTTAAGTAGATAGGAGCCCATCCATTGTAAGAATTTAGATTTGAATATTTTATTTTGTTTGGTTGGATGAAATGATCATTTCATTCATGGTCTATTTTAGATTCATTACAAATACAACTCTATTCACTAATTTGGTTCATTATAAATTTTGTTATATGATATATTTATACTAATTAAAAAATATTAGCTTTGATATATTAATTTAAATTATTAATATTATAATTGATTAATATATATGACAATAATAATATTATTAATATGATATTATTAATAAATTAATTATATATAATAATATATTAGAGGAACTAAATTTCACATTTGGTATGAATATGAGACTAAATTTCAAAATTTGTAAGAGTACAAGAACTAAATTTTAAATTTTATACCAGTATAGAGATTATTTGCATAATTTAATAACTAATTTTATCAATCCCAATAATCATGTCAACAAGTCAATGCTATATCATTGAACTCAAAGCCACATCATTAAAGTTAACGGCCACGTTAACTAATTTAATGGAAATCAAGTAACATTGTTATTAATTGAACCAATATTGTTAAATTAAACTAGTATGAAAATCTCATTTTTGCAAATTATTGTATATGGATTAAATTTCAAATTTCGCATGAGTATAGTGACCATTTACATAATTTAACAACTGATTTCATAAATTTCAATTACCACATCACCAAATCAATTTCATGTCATTAAAGTTAATGTCATGTCAGTATGGTCAACTATTATGTTAGCTAATTTAATGGAGATTAAGTAACACTATTATCAAATAGATTACTATTGTTAAATTAAACTAGTATAAGAATCTAATTTCTATAAATTATTATATAAGGACTAAATTTTAAATTTTATAGAAATATAGAAACTAATTTCATAATTTGACCTAAAAAAATTGAGGCCTATTCAAGAAAAACTTAAATACAAATTTCAAATTATGTAATATTCATAAAAATATCATATGAAATCGAATAAATGATAGACTTAAGATAATTTATTATCATGATCGAATAATTATATGATTAAAGTAAAAAAATTATAATTAAAACGTTAGTATTTGCTACAAAAAAAAATTTTAAATGATTTAAGTTGAGTAGTTAACAAGTAAATGACTTACTTTCGACTTACTTGTGAGAGTAGGAGGTTTTTTAAGGCTAGCTGTAAGTGGGAGTTGTTGTCCTATCAATTCATAACTCTTATAGCCCAACGATCTTTTTCCACATTTTATCCAACAGTCGACCCCCCTTCCCCCACAAGCCAACAAATCTTATCAGATTACTTTGCTGAACCTTTTCTCTCAAGTTCTAGCCATGGAGCTGATTTTCTCAATTCAATCTTTGATTGTCCTGTTTCTTATCTTTCTTTATTCTTACTACTACTTCTCTTCACACCAAAAAAGAAATAGTAATACAGGGTTCAAAATCTACCCCATCCTCGGTGCCTTGCCTGAATTCCTAAGAAACCGGCACCGATTTCTTGATTGGACAACCGAAATTCTAAGCCGATGTCCGACCAACACAGCTGTCTTTTATCGTCCTGGTAAAATCCATGGAATCATCACTGCAAACGCTTTAAACGTCGAGCATGCTCTCAAGACCAACTTCGAGAACTATCCCAAAGGCGAGCGGTTCATTCTCCTTCTCAAGGACTTTCTTGGCCAAGGAATCTTCAACTCTGATGGTGAACTATGGAAAATTCAAAGGAAAACGGCCAGCTACGAGTTCAACACCAAATCGCTCCGGAATTTCATTGTGGATATTGTCAGGATCGAGGCTTCCACAAGGTTGATTCCGGTCTTAAGCCAGGCTTCTAAAACTCAACAGGTATTGGATTTACAGGATATTTTGGAGCAATTCGCTTTTGATAACATATGTAAATTGGCTTTCAATGTCGACCCTGGTTGTCTTGGCGGCGATGGAACGTCTGGTTCTAAGTTCATGCGTGCGTTTGAAGATGCTGCCACGCTTAGTTCTGGAAGATTCATGTATGCCTTCCCATTTTTATGGAAGATAAAGAGGATTTTCAACATGGGATCAGAACGAAACTTGAAGAATTCGATCGAGATTGTTCACGAATTCGCAGATAACATGATTAAAACAAGATTAGAAGCCAAAGCTGAAACTCAAGACGAAGATTTACTATCCAGGTTCATCAGAAACGAGGAGAATTCACCTCACTTTCTCCGAGATATCATCATAAGTTTCATTTTAGCAGGGAGAGACACCACATCTTCAGCTTTGACTTGGTTCTTTTGGCTGCTATCACTAAATTCCAACGTTGAACGAAGCATACTAAAAGAGCTTGAATCAATTCGACTAAGAAATGGGAAAAACATTGGCGATGCATATACTTTCGATGAGCTACGACAAATGCACTATCTTCACGCAGCAATTTCAGAAAGTTTAAGATTGTACCCTCCAGTTCCAGTCGATACAAAAGTTTGCCTAAACAACGACATTCTTCCAGACGGAACATTTATCGGGAAAGGCTGGTTTTTCACTTATCATACGTATGCGATGGGGCGGATGGAGGCGATATGGGGCAAAAATTGCAATGAATATTTGCCAGAAAGATGGCTTGATGAAAATGGAAATTGCAAGCAAGAAAATCCATTTCGATTTCCCATATTCCATGCCGGACCAAGGATGTGTCTAGGGAAAGATATGGCTTATATTCAGATGAAGTCGATTGCAGCAACAGTGATAGAGAGGTTTGTGGTAGAGGTACAAGGTAGGGATAAGTGTCCTCGGCACTTGTTGTCTTTAACTCTCAGGATGAAAGGTGGGTTATCTGTTAGGGTTAGGGAAAGATGAGTGGACTTAACTTGGTTATTTCTTGTTGATCTTTAGTGATTATTGTATAAGTCCATTATTGCTGTTGTTATTTTTTTTTTTTTAATTATAAGTCCGTTATTGTTACATGCACATGGTTGGTTGTTTTGTTTTCCCTTATAGTATAGGTGTCCAACAGAATCTACGGGCGGAGTTGGGCTAGGGGGCTAAACTAAAATAAAGTATGTACCATAAAAAATTTTATACGTTTATTTTATATTTTGTATATTATTATCTGATAAAAATTATACTTGAAATATAATATTTCATTTATATCTATTTATAATATAAATTTTGATCGTTTTGATCAAAGATCGATTCCCTCTTAAGGGTACCACGTCCACTTCCTCATTTTTTTTTTGGTTTATTTATTTATTTAATATTTTATAGTTGTTTTTAATATTTAATAACTATTTTAGGGATTTAAAATGTTAAGGTGAATCTCACTTTATAATAAGGCTTTTTATTTTTTTCAGTTTTTATAAAATTTTTACTAATACTTTTTGAAGATTTATTTTTTTGTGGTACTCACTTGATACTAGCAGTATGCTATGTGATTAATTTTTTTTTGTTCAGTTGATAAGAATAGCAAAATAATAATTATCCAATAAATTTATATTCATCTCGATTCGATATAAGCGTTTTTTGTTTGTTTTTGTAAAAAATAGATATCTAATTAATTTGAATCAAATTATTTTATAAAAATAAGAGGTGGATCAAAAGTGAATTTATGATACTCTAACTCAAGTCACTTTATACTATATGTAAAAATATATATTTTATTATCTTTAATTTTATATTTCTATAAATATGCATGTATTCATCGGTTTTTTTTTTAAAGCTTGGTATTAAATGGAGAGCTTTTTCCATGAATAATATATTTTAAAATCTTTATTCTTTAATAGGAGTACTTTTAAACTTATTTACTTAAATAAGGTACTCTAAACCACGTCATCGTATCCTTCAAACTTTTCTCCTCTTTTTTCCTGCAACTATCCCTTCTCTTTCTCATTTAAAAATAATATAGATTTTTGTGACGAATGATAAAGAAAATGTTATCATTTAAAATTTACTCTTTGTAAATTTTTGGAATGATTTAAATTTTTTTTTCTAGATTCGAGACTTTCTATAGCTCACACTTATCTCTCTTTTAAGTTGATACAACTCTCAAAAACTTTTTTTTAATTGAGTAATTTGAAAATTGATAAAAGCATTAAGATTTTTTATAATTGGAACTTCACAGATTGATGATTGCACAAAAATTTAGGTAAATTGATCTTCGAGCATTAAAGCCTACATCTACAGACAGAGTTGTGGGATAATGGTCTTTGATCATAAATAACCTCTCTAAAAAGGTTTGAACTGTGTGTTATGGATGTTGCTCATTATTTAATCGATTGAATTTTGAAACTGAAGTTTACCTTTGATTACTAAAATTGATTGATTGGTTTGCAATTTGCAAATCATCTTTCATGTATCTTTTAGCGGAAATGTCAATCTTAGTTAAATGCTCAACAGATTTATCTCTTTACTCGTGAACATAGGATTGATTCTTTTCTAATTGAATTTAAAATTAAAAAAAAAAAAAAACTAGTTGCAAAAGGACAAAAAAAAAAAAGGAATTCGCCTTTTCCAAGTTTAAAATAACATTGCAAGTCTTTGTTGAAATTCTTGTAATTAAAACCTTAGTATCCAAAAACTTAAAGTGTTCGCATTGCTTAGTTTTGTTTGGATATTAAATTTATCTTCGTTGGAAAAGCATATTGTTTTTTATCTAGTAAACTTGGAATGAAAAAAAATTAATTAAAATGGAAAATTCATACATTTTCATTATTTTTATTAAATTAATAATGATAAAGATGCTGTGGCATTTTGACATGGCTTAGTACCCTAGTTTGGGAAATAAGATTAAAATCACCCTATTTTAAGAATAAAGATTTTAAAATACTTTGATTTGGGAAAAAACTCATTAAATGGACACACAAAAAATAAAAAAAAAATTATTTCTTATAAAATATATTTTGTGAGAATAAGAGATCAATTTATATATCTGCATGTAATTTCCATTTGAATTTTTTTTACTTTTTATCTTTTTGCTCTATTAAATTAGGTAAATTTTTCAAAAAAAAAATCAATTAATAAAAATAATAAAATAAAAAAAATTTGACTCGCAATAGAAAACTCAGCTAATATATATATATATATATATATATATGAACATAGTTAATATAAATAACAAGTTTTTTTTAAGTATTAAAATTAATAAAAGAAAAAAATTATTAAAAAGGGAAGAAAGTCAAACACCTTTATTCGGCTGAACTCACTCTCTCGTGTTGGAGAATAAAGTTAAGATGTCAGAATATGTAAATATTAGTTATAGAGAATTTCAAGTTTGTTAAAATTATCATGCTTGTAACGAGTGGCGTATATGTTTTGTCTTTGGCAAAAAAATCAATCCTATGACGTTATGTTGGATATATATAAATAAAGGAATGGAAAGAAAAGAAAAAGAAAAGAGAAAGGTTTTTTAAAGAAAAAAAAGGGTACATGTATCTTTTATTTGGATAGCTAAAATTAATGAAAGAAAAAAAAATTTTAACAATAATTATTTGGAGAAATAATAAAAAGAAAGGAAATAATTCATTATAATATTTTTTTTCAATTATAATTTTTTTTATAAAATAACATATAATATATAAATATATTTTTATACTATTTAGTTTGTATAAACAAATATTTTCAAACAAAATTGAACATGTTTAATATGGTAAGATATATTAACTAATTATTAATTTACTTTTAATTTTGTGTTTAATTCAACCTTTCAATTTTATTTTGATAATAATTTAACTTATTTTGTTGTTAAAACTTAAAAAATCATTAAATATTTATAAATTATAATATTATATAAAATACTCATAAAAAAATTATTTTTAAAGAAAATGTCAATTATATAATTAACTCTAATGTTATTATAAAAATATGAATATAAAAATCTTTTTATAAAAATAAAATTTTTTCAACTTTACTTTCTTTAGCTTTTCTCTCAAATTAAAGTATTAAAAAAAATAAAAATTACAAAAAAGTAAAAAATTATTGAATTTACATTTTTTTTTAAATTAAAAATTTATCCAAATAAAAAAATTGTTTCAATTTCCATTACCTTTTTTTTTTCTTCTTTTATTTTCCTTCTTTTCCCCTGAATTCAAACGCAGGGTGAGGGTCTGTAGGACCCGTTCTTTGAGCGTGGATAGAGGCAATAGGCCACCAACCTCGTATTACGCGATAAGCTGTCCTACATGAAAAGATAAAAAGGTATATGAGTACTATTTATATAAAACTAGAATTTGCAGGAGCTTTGCCGCAGGAAAGATAATGAATTTTTTTATTTGTTTATTTTTAAAATAAATGATATAATTTTATTTAAATATTTCAACTAGATTAGCTTCATAGATATATGTGAAAATTGGTTTAGTTTAGTATAGCTATATGTAAAAATTGGATTAACTTCATGCTTCAACAATATCATGCTATATTTCAGTTGTTCTTAGAGAAAATGAATTAGCTTCATAGCTAGATGTGAAAGGTCCTTGGGATAGCCTTGTCACATATAGCACGATATTATTGAAGCGTATGATTGAGTGATGTTGTATTAAGTTAACAAAAATTGATGAAATCATTATGTTATAATTGTCTAAGTCTTGAAGCATTGTGATCAGATCATAACCGTAAAACTTTTAATGTCAAAATGCAATTAATTTGAGATAAATTTAAAAATAATTAAAATTATTTTTTGAAAGGAATATTCTAGGCATATTTCATTTTCTCCTTTGTTGGGACCTAAATGGAAATTTGTGACCTGTTTGGATTTTGTTGGATTTTCCTAAAAACCTTGTCATAGAGTTATCATTTTGCTACAATTAAATTCCAAAAATACCCTAAATGAAGTTGGGTACACAAAGCCCAAATATTATTTTAAGACAAATTTTATAATAAAATGGTAAATCAAATGAGAAAGCAACATGAATGGAACTTGTTGACCCGTTTGGATCTTTTTCTTATTTTTTCTTAAATCTTTTAAATTTTAATGGTTTTTCTTCAATCAAAAATCATGTTTCATATGTTTAAGCATTAATCTACAAAGCCTAAAAAAATAAGTAAGAAAAAAAAAATGACAGAAACGCATTAAGTTGCAAACACAAAAAACTACTTTACCTTATCTCGTTAAAAAAGGCATCATGGCCATGTCTCATATTGCTTACACACATCTTTATTATTATTATTATTATTATTATTATTATTATTATTATTATTATTATGTATTCATAACTAGATCCGAAAAAAAGATGATGGAAAAAGGGCAAAAATTGAATTAAGAAAGGTAATCAAAAAATAGAAAATGACAAAGAAAATGTGAAGGAAAAGATAGAAGATATAAAAAAAACATGAAGTGAAAGATAGAGAAAACAAAGGCCTATGGAAACGATGAAAATGGCAGAGAAAATGTAAAACAGAAAGAGAGTAGATGGGTAAGGTAAGCTCAGCTGAAAAATGGTCAATGATGGATTTGGTAGAAAAATGATAAAAGCAAAGATAACACGGATAGGGTAAGGTCTGATCAAAGGAAGATTGAAATGAGTAAAATTAATAGTATGCATTCCACACTTGTTAAAATGTTAAAATTGCCATAATTTTATCCAGTAATATGTTCTGTCTCTGATCAAACAAAACAACTTTTATTAAAAATTTTACACAAGATTCTTTCATAAAGACAAAATTATCAAACACCGAGTCTGACTCAAGTTTTAGCAACCTCATTGTTGACAATAAAAATTATCCACAAGGAACTCACCTAAAATAACTATAAAATAAACTTAAATATTTATGTTAGTTAATTATTTCTTTTAAATTTCACATAACATTTTATGTAGTAGTATTTATTTGGGTATAAAACAATAATTAAGTGAAGTTAAAACAAAATATTTCTAAAACAATCAAATAAATCCTAAAATAATTTCATAACATCTATAACTATATATAAAGATAGTCCATAAATTTTGATTTACTGTAGAATTATGCAATGTAATTAAAAAAAATTGGATGATAAATTTGGGAAAAAAAAAGTTAAAGGTTCTCCAGAATCTTTTTCACTTTTAATGTTTCATCAGCTGCTTTCATCTTCCACAACTTCATCTTCACTTAAGTTTTCTTCAAAGTTGTTGCTTCTATCAATG